TTAGCTGGAGTTGTTAGTATGCCATAACATTTCGAATTTTCAATATCTTAATCTCTGCTAAAAATAACTGGCTTTCTAATCAATCATGTGACAACATAACAATTAGACGGCTTAAGCAATTAGAGACGCAATCAATATTTACCTGCTCTGCAGACCATTTGGCGTCTCCTTAAATTTGACATCCTTGGCAAAGGAGGATCAACTTCAATGACAATATCTCAGATTTATTCCTAAAAACTTTCGTAGGTTAATTTCAAAATTTAATAAAAAAGGACTAAATATAAATTGTATTGGGCCTGTTGACTCAATTAAAGCAAATGAAAAAAATTGTAAAAATGGGATTATTGATTTCTTTTTTTCAAGAATTCGATCTTCACAGCAATATCTTGGGGATAAACGCCACCTAACATTCTAGCATCGATTTTTTTCATCGTATTCAGTGCTTAGTCACCTCGCCTTTCCTGTGGTAAACAACAAACGTGAATAAAACACCCCCTCCCCTCGCTATCCGCGAGTCGGCTCTAGTCTGGGCAAACCCTTTTGTCTCTTTAATTATCTAATCAGCCCACTAGCTCCATCTGTAAAGGGCTACCATTCAGGATATATTACTAGCAACATGATTTGCATTGTTGCAACTTTAAAGTTGACCGAACGTCAGTGTTTCTAGCAAAATCATAAATGAGCGAATTCACAGCATTTGCAAAAATTACAGGGAAGAGTAGATTAGATTATTTTGGAAATTGTGAATGTTTTCCTAGCCCCTCACTACTCCCAATCTGCTAAATTTATGAGTCAACACAAAGGCTACTTCTTTTGAGCACTACTGAAATTAACGATCACTGCAAACTTAACGCAACCACAGATGGTAGAGTGGAGAATTTCGGTTATACGCATTCATAGCCAAATGCTGGTACAGCGTTTACAATGTGTCTCCTTTGCATTGATTAGGTGAGGGAAACGTGTTGGAGACAGTTACAGTCGATGTCGACGGTCAACTTACAAGTCTACTACTTATTGACAGCGGTGGTCTAGAAGATCCAGATTTCGAGGTACGCTCTCCTGTATTTATTGAATTTTTTAACCAATCAGTTTAATTCATTTTATTTGAAGTTTTACTTACCTCTACACTTATTTAAAATATATATATATATATACTTTGCTTAAACAAAAAAACATTTTTTGCACACTCGAAGAAAGAAAGTACATGTTATTGTAGTTTATTATTATTTCACATAGCAGGCTTTATGATATTTATTATTAGCCCTTAAACGTTGACTTCAGCTTCCCTCATGGGTGGGGGGTATATGTATAGCAGTTAATTAATAGCAGTTCATTAGCTGTCTTCTTTGTAGCAGTTAATTAATAGCAATTCATTAGCTGTCTTCTTGCGGCAGTTAATTAATAGCAGTTCATTAGCAGTCTTCTTGCTTAACAGTATCTCTGGCTTTCCGTCCTTGTCTTTAGAGCTGGATTACATTTATAGCAGTTAATTAATAGCAGTTCATTAGCTGTCTTCTTGCTTCCCAGAATCTCTGGCTTTCCATCGTCGTCTTTAGGGCTGGACACCGAATCAGGTGGGTCTTATTCATTTCCTCCTGTAGGTTACATAGGGGGCATGTTGGTTGACCGTTTCCTCCTGTAGGTTACATAGGGGGCATGTTGGTTGAGTGTATTATTTTAGATTATAATAATGAATGGAAGTGTATAATAAGTAGCAATAAAAACATAATCAAATGAATTATAAAAATTAATCAATTTGTTTAAACATCAAAGCAACGACAATAAATTAATATACATAATAAAAAAATATGAGTAATAATATTATGAAGTCGATAATATCTATAATATCAATCAGAAGAATTATATTGATAAGTATAGTGAGTCGAATAAATGATGGAAAATACAATGAAAATGTAAAAATATAGTTACATTCAGTAATTAATTAACTCCTTAGGTAATATTTTGCACAGTTGACCACATCGACGCCTATCCTTCTGCATTTTTATTACTGAACAATATGGTGGCCATTAATCTCTAAAAATATTAAATGAAAAAATGAATTTAAACCAAAATCAATAATCGACAGAATTCCGTTTTCGAATCAATTTAATGCACTATTTATGAATTAGTTGAGGTTTCTGTGATCTTAGTCAGGATTATTTATTTATTTATTTCAAATGGCAGGTGTTTTGATAATTATCATTAGTCCTTTAGTTGACTTCAGGCTTCACAGAGAGGAGGTGGAACATCAAAGTGATGAAAAGTCGAAAGGGGGAACAGAAGAGTGATTCATAAATGTAAAAGAGACACAAAGACACAAAGGCAGAGAAAAGGTAAGATGAGTACTATGGAAGGGGTCGAATATTACATACAGTGGGATGATGGTAGTTCAGAAGGGGTCGAATATGACAACCAGGGCGGTCGTGGTAGTTAAGTGGTCGAATATGACATACAGTGGGGTCATGGTAGTGTGTAAGGGGTCGAATATGACAACCAGGGGAGTCGTGGTAGTTTGGTGGTCGAATATGGCATACAGTGGGGTCATGGGGCCGTATGAGGACACAAAGGCAGAGAAAAGGCTAGATGAGTACTGTGGAAGAGTCGAATATGACATACAGTGGGGTGATGGTAATTTGGAAGGGGTCGAATATTACAAATAGTCGGGTCATAGAAATTTGAAGTGAGAAGTCAACTTCCGATTAATAGACTTTTTTGCCGTATGAGTAGATGTTGCCCAGGGTGCACCACGTGGAGGTAAGTCTATCGCAAGTTGCCCAGGGTGCACCACGTGGAGGTAAGTCTATCGCACGCTGTCCAGGGTGCACCACGTGGAGGTAAGTCTATCGCACACACCCCTCCGCTTCCAAATAAGATGTTGATAGTGAAGGCATATTTCCAGGGTGCACCACGTGGAGGTAAGTCTATCGCACACCCACTTGGCTCTCCCCTCAAATTTCAACCCTACACGGATGGGCTCTTAGTCAGGAATAAGTGAGATTGAATCACTCATTCTACAATTGCACTTCAATTTCCAAAAGAAAAACCTGAAAGCACTTCTCCCTCGTCAAAAATGCGTAAATTGATGGGTAGGGCTGGTTTCTAGCAAAATTAGCACTTAAGTCAATCATGGTTTGTTTCCTGCTTTAAAATCTTATCTTGTTGGAGGAAGAAACGCAATAATTTTGGTTTCGGTACTTAATTAAATAATTTATAATGAAATAATATATCACGCAATCGATAAATAGTTTAACTTCAACTCTTTGAGAAATGGCGTTTTCAATTGGAGAGCAAAATAGCTTTTTTATAAATAATTGAATATGAAAATAATAATATGTAATATTATTCCCACTTTAGAAAGTGTCTCATTGCCCCTCACTTCATTTTCATACCACCAGGAGTAGTGGCCAGGTAGAAGAATAACGATTGGCAGAAAATTTTTCTTGCCATAAATTGGACATATTTGAGTTGGAAAAGTTGACAATGTCACACTGGTCAAAGTTAGGGAGATAACGTGAAGGGGAGGATGAGGTGTATACATTTTCTTGAACAAATCAAGGTAGAGTTATGTGACAAGGTCACTTCAACTTTAACCAGACAGAACATTTACAAACAAGATATCAAATTATTGCGCCGTTTGTAATGCAAAATGAATTTTTAAGCTCATTACTTGAAGTCCACGTCAATGGTTAGCTTCCAATTAAATAAAAAAGAAATAATTTCAAATCTAATTAAAGGACAAATTCGTATTTTGTCTGTACTTAACCAAAAACGTTGCTCACTTCGGACGTGCAATTTGCATTTCTCTTTTAAGTGAAAAGTAATTGAGGCAGGGAATCACCCATGGATAAGCTTAATAATTGTATTTCAAAGTCGCTGACAATTTTCAGTTCCAAGTATTCTACTCATCAGGCGATTATCCGATGTTGAAGCAAACTTCTTAGGTATTACGATAACTCATTAACTAAAAATCGATTGGATTTCAACTATTTTTCAATCAGTTACATAAGGTTAAGACAGCGTTTTTCTTTAAGCAAAGACGTTCAATTTTTTTATTTGAGTTCAAGAACTTGGGAAAAAAATTGTTTTCGGCTAAAAACTACCGGAAATACTACCTTCCACATGTCACAATTGCACGAAACAACTGAAAGACACTGTATAAATTTGAATTTACATCATAACAATTTTTTAAATTTATTTTCCAAACTTATTGTTTCTCATATTTTTTGTAGGTTATGGATTCTGCCGATGCGTACTTGGTGGTATATGCAATCGATGACCGAGAATCCTTCAAAAGTGCTCAGACCATAATCTCGGAGATTTTGGGGAAATGTAAAATTGCAAGTGCCATCGTGCTAGTCGGCAATAAAGCCGACTTGGCTAGAGCTCGAACTGTTCCATCAGATGGTAGGTCCAATTCCACCTCAGGGTTAATAATAGTTGCACTAATCAGAACTCTAAAATAAGGCACTAAATTGATAATAGCCATCCCTCTAAGGCTGGAAGGCAAACGCATGAGTAGCCAAAATCTTTATATCGTTCACGAAATAAGTTTCATCATTCTCTTTCTTATTCGTCGTTGTGAGGATAGGATGCATCAAACAAATATAAACATTAATAATGCAGTTGGATTGGTGGATTAGTTATTAAGCATGTAAGAAGTGTACCAAATGGATCCAAAAATTAGTTAGTTGCAGACTGAATAGTTAATAGTGCGTTCACGCAAAACTTTGGCCATTTAGAAATAAGTACGCAGAGGTAGCATAAACCCCATCTGCTGAGAGGTCATTCAAGGTAACAAATTACATCGGAGTGGCGTATTAGAAACGAAAGCCACGAGAACCTTGAAGACTAATTTAAACGTGTAACAACAAGGTCACAGTGGGGGAAGGATTAGGTTATAGGAAAATCGCAATTCCAATCTCCTCCTCTATCTCAGACTATGTTGGGTGGAAAAAAATAGATTGAGAAAAATGGCTCAAATAAAATGATTAATGGGCATGGATATTAGTTATTAAAGGAAATATAAGCGCATTCAATAAATCCGCATTTATGACAGAAGGCGGTTGCAACTATTTTCGAGAGCTAATTATATTAATTACGCAATTAAAGGCTTACATTGAGAAGCCAATGGAGCACATTCTGGTCCAATTCATCTGAATTTGCTAATCGAATTTG